GTAGCCATGCTACGGGGGCAGAAGTATCAATTAACATAAGGGACATTTTGTCGAAAATGAGTTACATATAACATTGGATTCGGAAGTTCCCGCTCTATCGATTGGTATTATTAAAATTTAGGTATAGCAGTGTAAGCAGGAAAATAAATAGAAAATTATACGTAATTCTATTATAAAGGAACACCATGCTCGACGGTTTACACATAACAATATTGGTAACGTAAGGCACAACTAAACATCTTTTTTTAATGTAAGGGACATGCTATTAAACCACCGGGTTCCCAAATCTTTCGTTTATAGCATGAAAGAAGAGGAAATTCTAAGAAACTTTGCTCTAGACATAATCAAAATTGGAATAGACAGTACAAAGTTATGGGCAGATTTATAAAAAATAAAATGGTTTTTTGGCTCTCCTGAAAAGCCGTGGTTTGTCCCTTACATTAGTTGATACATCTGGTATCGATATTTAAGAATCCCAGTAGAGACGATATCGTGACAAAGTGTTTTGAATTGTAAAGCGAAGTCCTCTTTAAAAAGGTACTCGACATAAAAGCCGATACGTTCTCAAGTCGCGAAGACAAAAAAACTCAAGTGCATAACTACTTGATATATTTGACGGCCTAAATATTTGTTTCGACACCCTGCTAATGTAAACACACACGTTTGAATACCCTCGATTGTCCTCACTTTATTATTGTTAATGCATTATTTTTCTTTCCGTTCTCATGATAGTACCACTGTTGTTCTTATATGTAGTTGTTATGTCTGTAAAGGCGTACGAAGTTATTATATTGACCTACGTACGTCCTGCTTTCTGACTGGAACTAATTTCTTCATATTTAACAACAGTCGAAATTAAATAATAGCTGAATAAGCGTGTTGATTATTTTGTACAATTTAAACTTCATGATTTTCACACATTATTTGATTTTAAATTCGGGACTTAAATCGTGTATAAATAGTTTTTTTGCACCTCACTAGCTCTGAAAGGCTTTCTTTCTTATTAGAAAACTGCGCGCAAAAGCGCTTTTGCACGCTAGCGTGGAAAAGGATTTTCAAATTCGAACCTGACGATGGACCCTGGTGCACCTGCCTTTTTCCTTCGATGAAAAAATAAATTATAATGACACGTTCAACTACGTGATTTGTCGTACATTATATATGTACGTGATGTGTCCTACATTAGTTATGTAGTGTAAGTTATGTTGAGTATTTAGATCCCTTGGTATATTTTATTCTTATTATGGTTGATATTAAATTGACCACGATAACTAATTTATATATAACTAATATTTAATTTTAATTCGTCGAAGAACTAAAATAATTTCAATAATCACACAAAATTATAAGTACAAGCGAGAATAAAAATTGATGAGATGCAAATTCAGAACGCATCCCAAGACAAAACTTTTTTTTGTGACTAAAAAAAATAGTGACGCGTTCCGAAACGCGATTCGTCATAAGTACATTAAGTATTTATATAATATTAACAGTTGGTATAATTTATTCTTATTATTGTGGACATTCAATTGACAACCATAACACTAATTTTCTTTATTGGATTATTTTAATTTGTCGAAGAACTAAAATAATTTCGTTAACCACATAAAATTATAATACAAAGAAGAAGAAAACGTATGTGGTGTAAATTCAGAACACACCCAAAACTAAACTTTTTTTAGGAAATGAAACTATTTTTCCGGATTTAAATCGCGTATATTTGTTTTTTCAACTTTGTTGACTGTCAACCGTGACCATGGGACCTGTAAAGGGCCCGAAACGTCGGTTTGTTTGAAAAAACAAATATACGCAATTTAAATCCGGAAAAATAGTTTCATTTCCTAAGTGTAACAATCGCGAAAACTTAAGAACTCAATAAACTTTTTTTCAAATTTTCATTTTAATCACTTCAATTTCAATACTTTGGATTGAATTGTACTGTAATAAATTGAAAAGAAACAAAACATAAGCGAGTCTGAGTCTAGCGGTGATGAAAAACTGATTTGTTATAGTTCAGCTGTTTTTCTTTCATCGACCATTTTCCTCGCCATAGTGAGGTGAAAAGTTGTGTTTCGCTCGACAGTAAAGTGTTTTGCGTCTCGTGTCTTGAAACCCTCGCCTCGCTCGTGGTTAAAAAATTGGAGGACATAGTAAACTACTTCGCTTGCTCAAGTTTCAATACAATCGTGTCAAACGACAACTTTGCCTTGCCTTGCCTTGCATAATAATAGTTATTTGTTATGCAAGGCAAGGCAAGGCAAGGCAAAGTTGTCGTTTGACGCGAGTGATTGTATTGAATCCTGGGAGTCTACTCCCATTCTCCATCGACATCCTCCGAAAAAATTACTGTCAAATAAATAACACTCGACGGAATTAAAATACGCATGATGCGAATGAAGTTTCATGGTTGACATTATCGTTTGACTTGGTCGAGTATTACTGAGTAGACCCCCTCTAGGTCTTGCACGATAGGGCGCGACTTGTGCGAGAACGACATATTAAGGGAGAATAGCAGTAACTCGCGCAAGTCGCGCCCTGTCGTGCAAGCCCTACTGAACTTCATAATGAACCCTGCCACACTGAACGACCGGGATTGCACGGTCGACGCGCGGCCGTTTCTGTGTGGCAGGATTCATATGAACTCGTACATTACAAAAATTCTGTGTGGACAGAGCATAAGTCAGTATCTGTCACTGTTATGTTACATATATTTCCGTACCTGAGAAACATTACACTGTAAGTGCTATTTTTGTAATTTTACAGGGGATGCGATTTTGTGTCGAAATGCAACATTTACAATATTTAGAATGGCTTGAAATAAAACTAATTGACTTTTAAGTACAACATTTCGAACTACCCTAATTGTCGTACAAACAAAATCGCTTCCCCCGTAAAATTACAAAAATGGCGCTTACACTGTAATGCTTCTCAGGTACGAATTTAAGGGCCTCAACAGATTTACGTTCCGTTACATACCACCATGTGATGGCAGCAAAACTCCTTGTGGAAGAGTTCGTCCAGGAAAGTAGTGCCACCTTATGTTGGTGAATTTACTGCCACTTTTCAACTTATGTCTCATTGTGTACAAACAAGTAATCTTTGCGGTTATGTGCTTTGACCAGCACTACGACTGCTATGGACAGACGTGTCGCTCACCATCAGGCGCACGACTTGCTCGACCCGTCACTTTTGTTATTATAACAAAAAACCTCTAGAAAAAAGTACTTCGTCTACCTAATCTTCTTTTAAGCTGTTTTTCTATCATATTCGATTAAGAGCTGGTTTTGAAAGTAAAGTGGAGACTCTGAAAAGGGTTGTTGTCTAGCTCTGTGTAAATGCATTCGGTTGAATAGTCGCGTCTGGTTTTAAATATTAGGCCTTGTAGGCACTGCTTCACCTAATTAATGTGCCAAATTAATGTCGGTGTACGCTACAAGGTTTTTTCCATGTACCCCATGGTTGTTGTACACGGCGATACTATGAGCAGCTGCTGGACTCTGTTTTTTTTTTCTTTATTTTGTGCACAAAATAAACTACATAAAAATAAACAAAAGTCATTTTAACATTTCGGAGCATGCACATCCTTCTCGCTCTGAACGCATCATGCTAAACATAATAATTATTGCTAGGTACAATCTAAAAATGGTAACCTATCACAAAGTCGAAATTATTTTTGTTCGAAATAACGTTTGTTTGAGTTTTCATTACACCGAATTATAACTTAACAGTTGTTCTTTCAGGATATGTTGAGTGTTTATCGCAAAGACACGATTAGGTTTGATTAAGTTAGGTTTCGGGGTAGTTCGTTGCCCAGCACGATGTGGGGGTTCCTCGGGGTTCCGTACTGTCTGCAACTCTCTTTCTGCTGCATATCAATGATATGTTAATTCCAGGTACCTTTGCGTATGCTGATGACAGCACAGTTGTAGATAGGTACTTGACCAATGCAAAGGTCAGTGGAGAGGAAATCCAGTCTTATCGTGAGTCCATGGTTAGCCGTTTACATTTGACGCTCAAGGCAGTGCCTTTGAGTTGATAACGACTTTTCGTGATATATCCATACCGATAGCCGACCGTCTCCAGCTACTTGGAATGGACCAGATACATTGAATCCATGGCCAAAAATGCAGCCAGGAAGCTTTGCATCCTTTCCAGGGTGAGGCGTTACTTCACACCGGGACAGTTGCTTCAGCTGCATCAAGCACAAGTCCTGTTGTGTATGGAGTAATGTTGCCACCTTTGGGATGGCTCTGCTACATATCAACTGGCCACCTTGGATTCAATTGACAAGCGTGCCAAGAGGCTTATAGGTGACTCGGAATTAGTAGAGGCGAAGCTGCAGAGCCTTGAACACCGCCGTAAAGTTGCCTGCTTATCGGTATTTTACAGGATATATCACGGAGAGCGTGCGATGGAATTACATGATTTAATTCCGCCTTCCCCTTTCCATCATCGGGGGACTAGGCGTAGGCTTGGCTTCCACCCCTACGTTGTGGATATTCCAAAGATTCGCACGAAGCGTTACGCTTCCACATTTATATGGCGAACGGCTATGGGGTGAAACTCCCTGCCTGCAGACTTGTTCCCTAAACGTCATAACTTGAACCTTTTCAAGGCGAGAGTGAATAGGCATTTTCTAGGTGTGCATGCTCCATCGTTGACCTCATCGTCACTTTCCATCAGGTGAGATGGAGGTCAAATGTCAAATGCACACTTACATTAGAATAAAAAAAGGAACACTCCGGGGGTGCCGTCGGGCAGCTCCCCTTCAGGGTTCAGTCCAGTCTCACATAATCTGCCCCCGCGGGGCCGGGGTATCTGTAAGCAGATTCCCCCGGATTAACAAAAAAAAAGGTTCAAAAGGAAAAACAATTTTCTCTCAAAATTACTTTCGAGGTTATGAAATTTCTACCAAATGTTATTTCTGGAAAATGTCATTTCGGCCTACTGATAGGTAACCTACAAAATTATTAATCATTTCGTTATTTGTTGTTTTCCAGGTGGTATTAGAAGTGGCGCACCGCGTAGATCAAGAAGGCGTGGTTGCGGTGGACTCGGTCGTGGAGAAGCTTATCTTCAAGCCCCAGGATGTGGTCTCCATCCGTGCTAAAGACTCTGACCTCGAGTACGCCACCCACGATGTGTTCCAGACCGATAGCGCTATTTCTAGCAAGTTTAATGGTTGGTACTAAATTTATCTCAAATTCTGTCATTAAAATCTATTGTAGCTGTCATTAACCCAACATTACATTTAAGTAGTTACGTGTCCGAACGGTTACCATGCTGGTATGCCACGCAAAGGTCCCGGATTCGATTTTCAGGCCGAGAGAAATATTTGTATGGCCTACATCTATTTCTCTTGTGAGTTTGCATGTAATTTTGTCGTTGTCTATGTGTGTATCCATGGCACCCGCGTCACAGGGGTGCGGGGCTATGAGTGTATACGTTATTATTATATGTTATTAACTTATACAATCGTATTGAGCTTCTTCAGGCTTGAGATTAAAATTCGAAGAGTAAATTGCAACTCTTATGTCATTTACGATAACAAAAATCCAATATTTTTTACAAAAGTGACGTGGTTATCGCGAGATGTATTACCTTCTAATATGTGAAGGTCCTAGATGTCTATGAACCTTTTTCGATATGCCAGGTTTCATTACGGTGTTTTCCTACATCCTTAGCGTAGGATATATATATGTAATAAAAAAGTTTGATAACACCATTTTCAATTTATGTCTCAGGGTGACGTTCGCACTGGCGGTGCCCATAACATCTTTGCGATTTAATGCTCTAAATGACATTGCAACTGGCATGGATTGGCGTGTCGCTTACCATGTATTATAAAAGAAAAGTATGCATAAAGGTCCACGATATTGTTTTTTTGAGAACACCTTTCTAAATAATTCCAAAGTCATTGTTTTGTTATGCCAGCGGACCGCACTAATGGTTTGTAGCCTTCATCGTTCTAGGGAACGGGCGATCAGGCGAAGAGCGCCATCTAGAGCCCTGGGACGGCTGCGACGGCGACGCCGGCGACACGCCCTCGCTCAACGGAGACGCCCGCCTCGACGACCTAGAACTCGACCACAGAGCCAACGGCTGGGACGCCCATGAGATGTTCCGCAAAAACGAGGAGGTGTACGGTGTACATAGCACGTACGACCACTCGTTGGCTGGATATACGTTGCCGCTGCAAAGGAAGGATACTCAGGATTACAGGTGAGATTTTCACACATTCATCTCGGGGTGCACCACCGATGGAGCACGGATAACTTGGCCCTCAGGCGGAATCTACCACCGGTAGTCACGCAACACTCGACTTTTGGTATACTGATAAGTCCACGCCGTCTTGAAAGAAACTGCTAAAGCAAGTATTCATTTTTTGCCCAAATTCTGTACTTAGATACAACGGATCCATTAATGGAAATGTTTTTATTCTCAATACAAATTGCAGAAAAAAGTAACAAAAAGAAAATATAAAAATAAACGAGTATCGTTACCGATACCGTTCGACGAAACGTGTGTTATCCTGATTTGACAGCTGTCACTATAGCTAATAACCGTTGTAGAAAATAAGTCGGACACCAATTGGTTAGCAGTCAAGAGAAAGTCCGTAAAAAATCAGTGATGATTGTATCAAAAAAACACCAGAGACGCGGATCAAATGAAACGAGAAAATAAACCATGACGTTGACGTGTCGACCGCTTCATGAAGCGAGTCTCCTAGTCTTTTATCCAACCTAATTACGTATTCTACTTTTTTAATTGAATATTGTATTGATTCGTAATAAATAATTTATAAAAGTATTAGTGGATACTGCACAGGACGATTAGACCTATTTTTTAAATAATCCCGATAGCTAGATACACGGACATTGCCATATATAACTATTGTATTACCAGTTATTTATCGAACGATAAATTTGAGTGGTACAATTTATATATTTTATTTTTTTACGTATTCACCGTATTTTTTTATTAAAAAATTTTGTACTGGTACATGTTTTGAGCAAACTTGAAATGAAGAAAAAACGGATTCTTTAACGTACTCGCCATGTGCAGTAGTCAATTTTCAAAAAATTGACTACTGCACACAACAACAAGCTACTTGCTAACTTCTGAAGAAGTTTGATAGTCTTTAAAAAAACTAAAAATTGTTATAATTATTAATACAAAGATCATAACAAACAGACTATAACAAACTACTGGAGTAACTTCACAAAAACATAATTGAATATCAATTCAATACAAATTTGATTACAGTGAATAGGGACGGCTGGTAGCTGTAAAGTTACCTAACTGGGTGACGTAATACTTTCACAGATTTGTCATAGATGGCGCTGCGGCTAAAAAGTCGTTGAAAAACCAAAGTCAGTCAAAGATTATTTATTCCATAGATAAAATAAATTTACACTTGAAAACGTCACATTTAAGCTACTGCTCGTTCACTACGCTGACCTCCCTTAGAAGAACGAGCAAGAAACTCTAGGGATTGCTCTTTTCAAATAAACTTAAATGCTATGGAATAATACACTTTGAATCAAATTTGTGTGGATTCTGGAGCCATGTCGTCTTTCCATACATCTTTATCTAACACGTAGTCTTCAATTTTGTAATATGATTTTTCGATCAAAATATTTTTAATGTAGTTTTTAAACTTAGGAAATGATAAACTTAATATATGCTCCGGAATCTTATTGTAAAAACGTATACAGTTCCCCATAAAAGAGTTGTTTACCTTGGTTAAACGGAATCGTGGTACCATGAGTTTGGACTTAGCTCTAAGGTTAATATTATGGATATCTTCTTTCTTATTGAATATACAAAATACAAAGATCCGACGACAAACACATAGAAAAATTCATGAGATTCGTTGGTTCGTTCCGTGGCTTAGTAGGCATAGCGTCTGACACAGTTTGTTAGAAGACGTCGTTCGAATCCGGCCTGATCGAAGCAATTTTTTCTAAGTGTTCGATCTTTGTATTAATAATTATAACAAACTAGTGGAGTAACATGAATTCAATACAAATATAACTAAAAATTGGTTTTGTCAAAGTATTGTATAATAGTCATCTGTTACCATTTTTCCCATAATAATCGACTGGAAGAGTTCTATGCCTGCGGCAAGGTCTTAGGCAGTGTTTACTAAACGCTGATGACGTCAGAACCTCTTGTGACGTCAAAGCGATCGCACTCAGCGCCCGAGATGGCACGAAGTGACGTCCTGATATTAATTTATAATGTCATACACTCGATAACAAAATGACAGTGAAAGTACGAGAACTATTTTTAAAGTGTTAAAGTTAAATTTCGTGGCACTAGCGTTTTATGCCAATTGACACGTGCTAAATATGACAAATTCTATTTGATGTGAAAAACGATTTTACAACCATATTACAACCGTGGTCGGTAAGAAGTTTTTTTTATTTGTTGCACGACATACATAGGTCAGGTTCAAGTTCAAACAAGGAAAGGAGGTTGCCTAACTTCAAAATTAAAACATTCGCTTAAAATGTTATCTAAACAAAAATTTAATTGCAATTCAGCCACATACTTACCACCTTAAATCTTAGTATTAAGAATTTCGTACAATTGATTTTAATTATTTTGTGTATAAAAATTTAGCAATTTTTTTTACAATCCATCAAGACGCATACGTCTTTGCTTTTACAACATTTTAGTTCGAGTCGTATTGTCTGTAGAAGAATAGCTAGCTGGCCGTCTATTGATAAAAAAAACAAAAACTCGCCATTTGCAAAATTGTGTTGTGAATCATATATTTTAATCTTACAAGAAATAAACATTGTATTTATTTCCTCGCAAATGTGATGAAAAACATTGTATGCAACACGAACAGTAAAAATTACAAAACTCGAGTTATTAAAGCCCTCAGCCTTCGGCTTCGGGCTTCTAATAGTCCCTCGTTGGTGTTTTCTTACCGTCTTTAATACACAATGTACTGTATTTAAAACATTAGTAGGTAATCAATCAAACATAAAGGGGTGTAATCGAAGGATTGCACCCCGTTACGTCTTCTAATTTTGCTATCCTAATGGTGCCACTTCTAAATTTCAATTTTATTTTCTTATGTGCAATGTATATTAAGTCTCGTTCATTCATTCACCGAGCATCATTATTTAAGTGTTGTACTAATTTTACCATTGATTTGTAATTCACTTCGCGTGTGGATATCGGGCTGTCACTCAGCCATATTTCTTTACTTTTTGGACCAAAAAAGGGGTGGCTGTTTTGGTAACAGATTGAAGATAAAAAAAAACCTTTGACTTTGATTGTTTTCTTTATGTCCATTTACATAAGGCTTATTGTTTCTAAACAGGGACGCAGAAGCGAAAGCAGAAGAAATAGCAGCGGAAATAGAAAGCGCGCCCTCATACAAGGCGCGCATAGAACTTGAGAACGGTGACGAGGAGGAACGGTTCGCGGCTGTTGTCAGGCCAGCTGACAGCGGCAACGGTAGTGGCAAATACGTCATACCTATCAAGAGGAAGAACATGCAGGTACGTATCGTCATGCAGTATTTACACGGGTCGACTAAACAGCGATTCGAGTGCCGTCGACGCCATAATCCAAAGTCAATCGCGTCACAGAAACACAATAAATCGAAAATCGGAACATTCAACTAACTCATAGTTTCCCAAAGGGCCCGCAGCGAGCGCTAAAACTGTAATAGGGTGCTAACGCATTTGAAAATCTGAATTATCTATATAAATTACACTACAAATATATAATTGTGCCGTCCACTAACTAAATCGTGGCTAAGTGAAAAAGATCAAATAACCGTTTTTAATAGCAAAACATAGATCACAAAATTCTCTTTTAGAAGACTTATCGGAACTTACCCTAACGTCGCGTAGCTGGAATATCATTAAACAATTTCAATATTCTAATACTGGGTTATGGTTTTTATGATATCTCAAAAAATTATTTTGTCACTTAGCCACGTTCCACTTAGAATTTCTTTTCGTTGTGATTTTTTTATGTTAAGTTAATACAAAAAATACGTGTTTTCTCATTGACTTACAATTATATGGACGTCGGGTCCGCGCCAAAAAGTGTCCGCACTTGTAAGGCGCTAAAATCGTATACAGAGCGCCACACTCCGCTTTAGTCTTCATTTGTTCTACTGACAGCGCGATACTGCGATGACATTACAATTTAAATTTCGAATAGGTTGACTTGGGACATTTTTTTCGTGGTTTTTGTATTAGACCCGTCGTCCATTTATTTGTAAGTCAATGTGTTTTCTATTATTTTTTTGTAGTGTAGTGAAATTTTTTTATCTTGCCTAAGTGGGCGGTGAACATCGAGTATATAAACCAGAAATAGAGACGAAATGTCATTTATTTGTTTGAAAACTATTCTGCCATATCATTACCGTGACAACTGCGCTCCGATTGGCTAGTCCGAGTTCGAAACAATTGACGGGTGTCATCAACTATTTCACTTCAAATCACCCAGTTAACTTGAACTTTGCTATAATGGACGAAAATTGCAAAATTACTTAATTACCGATGAAATGTGATTCCGTTTGTTTTATAATTAGATGTTTTGCTGTTTTTCCCACACCACCGAATAGAACAGCACGGCATTGTTAGAGATATTATCTTTATTACAATAAATACAGAATATTTTTTGAAATATACGGAGACGTACGCACAGGTCAGTAGTTGGCCTGTTTATATTTCCGTGCAAACGGGAGATGATATTTATAAGAGCTGTATCGCTAATGTGTTACCAGAAATATATGGCCCTTATTTCGTCTCTATTTCTGGTTATATACTCAATAGCGGTGAACCAAAAGTTTGTGAACCTATGAATGGGGTACGTAGGTATTCTCCAGCCCCCAGCAACCGCATTCTGGTGTGACGCGGTCGTCGACTCTTTGAAATTAGTTTTGTCGACAGTCGCTTGCCGAAAGCGACCTAGGTCTGGCCCGGCCCGGAATTACAGTCGTCAAGCGACTCAGTGTTTACACTGGGTATGTTATCATCTTCTGTGGTCAACCACAAGCGACCTGTCGATCTACTGTAAAGACGTCATCAAGATATGTTTGAATCCATTGAAATGTTAGTTCCTAACCAAGAAGCTCCTCCATAATCGCGAAGCGAATGGACCGATCACAATGAGCGTTTTATTCTATTTAATGTGCATAGTTGCAGTAGAGCTCAATGTGAAAGAATTCGTCCTGGGAAGTACTGCCAACCTTAACTATTTCTTCCGCCAAACAGTTCCGGGTTTGAAGGGTAAGGGTGCTTGTGAAATTACTGGCACATGGGACTTTTCAACTTATGTCTCAGGGGTGACGGGCGTAGTGGCAGTGCCTCTCAGATCTTTGAGATTTAAAGCTCTGAGTGGCACTGCAACTGTTATGGACAGGCGTGTCGCTTGCCATCAGGCGCACGACTTGCAGCATAAAAAAAATAAACAAAATGCGCGAAGGCACTGTAAATCCATTATAACCGACTCTGTTCCTCGCATGTCGTATTTATATTTATTCATGTCACGCAGAATTTGGCTTGTGCTTATGTATTTTATTTTCTTTTAAATCTGTTTGTCAGTACTCCAAAAAAGTTACATTTCGAATTTCGTCGCTTCTGTTATTGAGGACTGTGATATATTCGTGTTTTTTTTTTCTAGACTGGAAGACCCGCGACGAAACCGCCGTTAACAAACAACGGCGGATCGTCCCCCAGCGGGACTAACAAGCCCCCTTACCCGCACCATCACGCGTCGCCGCCCGCGTCTCACGCGTCTCACGCGTCACATGCGTCACACGCGTCTCACACCTCGCGGGATAAGGACCATCGTGCGCCGCGACACGCTGGTTCGCACGACGATCGGCGGCAGGATGATAGTGCGGTAATTATTTTACTTCAATTCTTAATGTAAACTTTTCTACGTCACCGTGAATATCGATTTTTAACAATGTCTATCAGAAATCTGTAGATCTAATCAAATTAAAAACAATAATCACTAAAATTAGCGGGTAGAGTATTGCATTAAACGAAATAAATATATAAACAGATAAACACTTTATGTATTAATTTGTCACACATTAAGCGTCTCTTAACTACCTTAGCTCGAATTCGAAAATTCGGATCGAGCGGCACTACACTGGCTTTATTTCAGAATTTACTTTTTTACAAACGAAATTAAAACCATTCGAAAAATATATCGACCCCTCCCACGTAAAGTATCGTATGTCAAAATTGCCAAGTTTGCAGGGGAGCCTTTTAAAGTTCTGAATTCACTGAAACAAGCATCATACGTGACTTTAGATTTCTCACTTTTATTCGGCAAATCTCGTTACACACGTTGAGTAGATGATCTATTAGATGATCACTCTATGTGTCAAGAGTAACAAGCTTTGCCGAATGAAACGGAGAACTTTAAAACACTCCCCTGTAAACTTGGCAATTTCGACATACGATACTTTACGTAGAAGGCGTCGAATATCGTATACCGTACGTGTTCTATTCAGTTCAGTTGCTATAAAGCATACAAGAATACAACGCGTTTGTGAATCGATTTTTATGATTCTTTTTCTGTTGGAAAGAGGGTACCTCGGTAATGGTCCCATTTAAATTTGAAGAAAATATAACACCTCTAAGGGCAAACTAGGGGATGTATCCAGTTTCGCGCACTTTCCGGTAACCGATTTTAATAAAACTTGGCAAATAGATGTATATCCACTGACTTTTGAATTTTATTTTTTTACTATATATTTTTTCCAAACTGATTCATTTAACACTTTCACTGTTATACGGAACCAAAGACATTTAGGGTTGTATCGACCCTTCAATATAAAATACACTGACTCGATGTAGGTATACTTAAGTTCCTTAAGGCGTTCGCTTTCAGTTAGGACGAATAAGCAGAACTAAACTATTAAAGTTACTTTTACATTTTTCCAAAAACGTTAAACCGTTTTCAAGTTATAATAAAAAGAACTTTATTACGTATTGCTAAGAAAACAAAGTACTAAAACGAGCCAATATGTATCGGTGGTCTATTACTCCGAGTGTTTATGTTGGCTTTTATTCTCGAGGTGAAGACTTTAGTTTTCACGTCGTTTGCCAGAAAAGAAATATTTCAATCGTTTTCACCCTACAACAAAATTATGAACCAAAATTCTGAAGTTTTGTGTTTTTTTCCAATCAGATACAGATACAACAAACGCACTGACGCAGGAAATGTATATGGCGCCGTCGTCTATGCGGAATAGGCATGGAACTAAAACCGAGCGTACTACTGACTGTTTGAATTTGTTCGCTCGAAGTAAATTAAAAAATTAGGTACATTTTACTCCCTAAGGATAGGATGCACTTTACTCCCGATACATAAAGTACTTTTAGAGCATGAGGAGGGAAATTAATCTGTTTGAATTTAATTAAATTAAATTATTTTTTAAATTCAAACAGACATTGTCGCGTCAGTATGGCCGTAATTTTAAAGCTAAAGCAACGTAGCAGCGCTGTTCCGTGAGAAATAAATTAAGCCACATTTTGTTGGGAACGGATGTCAAACTTGTTTAATTGAAGACACCAATGATTTGATGACATTTTAAGGAAAGTGTGTCTTTAAATTTGAAATAACTTTGTTTTTGAAAATGTATCAATAGTGGTTAGTATGCTTGACAGATATAATAATCAAGAAAGATTGTGCGTTTATAAATACGTTTCAGAAAAAGCTATTCATAAAATAAAAATCATTTATTGCAGACAATATACGGCCCATTTTGTTAGTACACTTACTTACTTACAAGCTATCTATTCTACTCTTTGTACAAAAGTTACAGAATAAAAATAAATTGAATAAATGAAATTAATTGAATTAATTATGTGAATGAAATGATTACGCGATACATGATACTTGCTAAGTTCACCGAGCTCCCAGGAGGTGAAGTTCGGTGAACCTAGCAAGCAGGTCGGAGTCTCACCTGTCCCCTATCATTTTAAGAACTCTGTTTGAGCTCTCTCGCACTTTGCGCTGGCAGGATGCCACCTCTTTTCGCATTAGTGCGTAAAATCCTCTACACTGGCATCGGCATACATGCTCGACATACTGCAACACCGAGGAAGCCCAAACAGAGTTGTAGGCCTTCTGAGTAATACCGACCGAGTAGAATGTCTGGCAGTATTGATTACTAGAATAAGCGAAAGTAGAATCGCTCTAAAAGTCCAGTAACTGACATTGACCTTGTCCGGCGCCACCGTATTTGCCACGATCGCAACCCCGACCCCGCAGAGCGCCAGCACCCCGCCGGCGGCCAGCGCCAGCGCCGCGGCGTCGTCCAGCAACGTGAGCGCGGGCAAGAGCTACGCGGCGCAGGCGGGCGGCGCCTACCACGCGCCCTTCCCGCACCAGGCGCACTCGCCGCACGCGCCGCACCCCGCGCACCCCGCGCACGCCCACGCGCACGCGCACCACCCGCAGCACCCGCAGCACGCGTGAGTGCTCCTCTATATGCATTGCAGGCTTGCAATTGAAATGAATAAAAAATCATATCAGTGCGACCGGGCGAAGAAAAGAGAGATTTTTTGTCCTTATCATAATAGAACACCCGTTTTACCTCTGTGACCGAACGGTTGCCATGCCATGCAGAGGTGTCCCAGGTTCGATTCCCGGGCTGGGAGAAATATTTGTATGGCCTATATGTATTTCTCCCGTGAATTTAGATGTAATTTGTGATTGTCTATATGTGATTGGAACAGGATTTCCCTAGTGCGGGGCTATGTTGAGTGTGTGCGTTATTATTATTTTAATAATAAATTTCTATTGTTTGCACGAGTTGCTCGACGCTGTAACTTCCCATGATGAAATTTTCTTATTTTATTTTTATTTTTTTATTTTACTTTGTTGACTGAAAAATAAACAATAGATTTGACAAAAGAAGCCTCAACAACATGGCCGCTATAAACTGTCAAAATCTACCCGCCCTTGCTAGCAAACCCGATATATTGTCTCGGGTCTGGGTACTGTTAGGTCATGGTAAAATTTCCATTTTTTTCTAAACATATTTTTCAGAAATTTAAATATTTTTCCTTTAATTTTCCACATCTAACGTTGACACCTGTCAAAAGTTGAAGTTCCTAAACGAAAACGGTGGAGCCAACAACTTCACTGTTGTGAAATCGTTTTAAATATCATTTTTCTTTACTTGGCTTTAAGCTATAAAAGTTCATTGTACAATTACGCTAAATAAAACTTCGAAAAATATTTCTAAATACGTTTTGATCTGAGTGTTTGTGGTACCGTCGTTGTTCCCGATTTTCATAACACAAGTGCTTTAGTTACTTTGGGATCAGAGCAACGTATATGTTGTTGATGTTGTATATTTCTTGCTGCAGGCCTGCGCCGCCGGCGGGCAAACTGAACGGCGAACCTCGCGCACCACCGCACCCGCGGCCGAGCTTCCCGCCGCACCATCACCCACACGTACTTTCAAACCTTTTTTTACTTGTAATGCTTTATAAATCAAAATAAATAATAGCAATCGTTTAACCACGTACCAAGTCGTGCACAATTGCACGCTGATGCATGCAGCACTTGGTCCAAAGTTTTTACTTCATAAAAATTTGCAAGGGTAATTTTTCCCTTTTTTGAAGCAAGATGGCGCACATACGCCTTCAGAGTCGACGAAAGGACGTGAAACTTTTGTGTGACCGTTTAAATTTGAAACCTTTGTGCAGAATCCGCCTCCGCCTGGCGAGAGTCACGGCCGCCCGCGCCTGCATCCTCCGCCGGAGCCTAGAAGGCAAGATGAGGTGCAGGTAAGTATCGGTGTCTGTTAACCTGACTTTCTAGTGCAAAGCTGTAGTGAGGCATTATTTATTATAAGAGGGTTCTTTGTCGTGTAGAAGTAAACGACTCCTAGGGTCGTATTCAAGAACTGTACTCAATACTCAAGCCAGGACTTGAGTATTGCAGTGAGCACTGAAAATCATACTCATGTCCTTGCCATTAGGGTCGTATTTCCAGTGCTTGAAATCATACTCAAGTCTGCTCAAGTCCTGACTTGAGCATTGAGTAGAGTTCTGGAATACGACCCTTAGTGTCTCTGAGAGATAAATTTATTGAAATAAACATTTTTACACTGGCTACATTAGTGCATTTATGAAAATATAATTTATGTTGAGAAGACTTAGGCATTATTTTGTGAAAAACGACGATACATTATATTAATATGAGAAACAAAACTAAATTGGCAAGTCTGGGCTGTCGTTTCCACAAAGTCACCAACGGTTCTACAAAAAGACCGTGTTGGTACCAAAACTCGTTATTCGTGAATAAAAATTACATAAATGTTTATTTAATTTTTGTTTTAGGAGTTACGCAAGTTCGGACAAGAGTTCAAGCTGGTGTCGTCCCCCGCGCCGTCCGCGCAGCCCCCGCCGCAGCTGCAACAGCAGCCGCCGCAAAACACGCAGCCGGTACTTGTCGACTCACTTATTTGCACTATATAAAATAAAATCGACGATGTGGAGTTCGTTCAGGGATGTACTGCAACCTTACCCATTTCTGCAGCTAAGCAGTCCACAGGCACATGGGACTTGTCAAATTATGTCTCAGGGTGTCGGGCACAGTGGAAGTGTCCATCAGATCTTTGCGATTGTGGAGCAATTTGACGTAACTCCACTTACGCCATTCTTCCATGAGGGGTGCGATATTACAACCACGATCGTAAATGCCCCGCAGCTGGTGCCGCCGCCGGCGCCCAGCACGCCCGAGGTGTCGGCCAACGCGGTGGCGGCGTCGGAGCCGCACGCCGGGCCCAAGCGCGAGCGCGCGCCCAAGGCCGCCGAGCCCGCGCAGCCCCCGCCCTCTGCGCAGCCGCAGCCGCAGCAGGCGGCGCCCGTTCACAAGGTACCCCCACCCCTCAAGCGTAGTAGTAGCAAAGGGCAAGTAAATGCCTACATTTCGCTCGGAGCGTACCTAAGATTAAACTTCAAAAAGAGGTTCTCACTTCGACGGTTTTTCTTATGTATGTTACGCGATAAAGTGGGTACCTCAGTGTTTGTCCCATTCAAATTTGAAGAAAATATTCCACCTCTAAGGGTGGCAAACTAGGTGATGAATCGGGATTCGCGCACTTTCCAGTAAACAATTCTAATAAAACTTGACAAATATATGTAATTTCAATATAAAAAAAAAGTTATTTAAACACCGAGTGCCGGCTTCAATTGTGCTCGTGTTAGCCGCACTATACAAAGCAGGTCCACCGCGAGATTATGCGAATATGTGCGTCGGTACACAGCGCACATACAAGCCACGCTGCTACGCTTATATCGAGGTACCACACTCGTCTCAATACACCGTGCCTCAAGGCTAAGTATCCGTTGTGACCCGTGGCCCACACGTGGTCCACAGCCGCCGCCCGCGCCGCAGTCGGAGTCCCCCGGCGCGGCCGAGGAGCGCACGGCGGCGTCGTCGCCCGCGTCGTCGTCGTCGCCCAGCAGCGAGCGCGCCGCCGCCGCCGTGGACCGCGCGCAGCAGACGCTCAAGAAGTCCACGCTCAACCCCAACGCCAAGGAGTTCAACCCGGCCGCCAAGCCCTTCACGCCGAGGAGCCCCTCCACGCCCAACCCCAGCCGGTATTTATGCGTGTAGTATATATATCGCACCCCTCATGGAAAAATGGCATAAGTGGAGTTACGTCAAAAATGTTTATTGCTCCATTAGATACAGAGAAATATAACCCACATCGTCTCCAAGTCTTGTTTACTCTATCGACTAATGTCGGTTGAGCAATAAACATTTTTCACGTAACTCCACTTATGCCATTCTTCCATGAGAGGTGCGAGATTGTAGTAGCAGTAGAGCTCCTTGTGAAGAGTTCGTCCAGGGAAGTACTTGCCACCTTACGTATTTCTGCCGCCAAAGCAGTAATTTGAGCATTACTGCGTTCCAGCCTGAAAGGGCAAGGGTGCTGGTGAAATGAACAGGCACATGGGACTTGTCAACTTATGTCTCAGGGCGACGGGCGCAGTGGCAGTGCCCCTCAGATCTTTGCGATTTAAAGCTTTGGGTGGCGCTGCAACGGACAGCAGTTGCAGTGCCACCTGGTAGCTACAGAGCTACCAGGCGCTCGAACTGTTCGTCCCTTCGCTTGGTATTTAAAAAAAAGTTACATGTAATTTTATTTTAAGAGGTCGTACTCACAAAAATAGAGAAAGATGGTGATTGGAGAGGTGGTGAATGTAGACGGCCACGAAAAACGCTTTCAGATCAAATGAGGTGTTTAGACAGGCTAGATTATGTAATGAGAAGGATAAGAGGGTCAACATGAAAAATCGATGAATGTAAGACAAGTACCTACCATGCCACCACGTCTTTCTTTCACTGAAGTAGACAGAAACTATGAATATCGACTGCACTTCGCCTTTTCCTCTCCTATAAATCTTTTCCTACACACCTCTTTCTGATTTTTGTCTTTCACTCTCTATCCAATATCGCCTTGATCTTTGTTAATAGACCATCCTAATACACTTCCTTTTCTTCTTCTCGTTTCGATGGCATACACTATAATGCTTGCCTTCATGGTGAAAGGATTTGCCAATCGGCGTAAGGTACTCACCGATTATTGCCCAAGTTACGCCAGACGTACAGGAAAGGTACGGTACGTCGTCCGTGGAGGCCCTTTTCGTGCATCCAGGCCTACGTATTAGAATATCGCACTTAATTACTGACAGCTCCAAAATAACGAGGTTGACAAGTAAAAATAAAACATAATTATATGCAATCGAAATATAAAATGCTTTAAACTATTAAAATGTAAGTAAGATCAGCATTAGTTATTGGTTTGTAATTTCGATAATTAATTGTGGAGGTTTGTAATAGACTTTTTTTGATATTGTTTAGTATTATCCACCATTTTTAATTTATAGCTGTAAACCTTCCTAAAATAAGTAAAATAAATAAAATCAAATATTACGGTTTGTTTCCAAAGAAATAAGTGATTTTCAGTAACTCGAATAATGTTACTATTTTTTTTTAACGAAAAGCAGTTTCTACACACGCTTGTAAGAATTTATTATTTTTGATTTGTGACAGTTAAAGCCGGTGTGCAATGTAACATTCGACATCAATTATATAAACTGAAATTTGTAGAAATGTATATCGATTCGTTTTTGCACCCCAGGCCGCACACGCCAGGCACCCCGGTGGGGGGCGTAGGCGTGGTGGGGGGCGTTGGTGTTGTGGGCCCCGGCGTCTCCTACGTCCCTGCGCCGCACCCGCCGCCACCGCACATGGTAAATATACTATCATTTTATTACATCGCTCTCATAACAAGAAACAGTTAATTTGATACTTGAAATTACTAGAGTATAATACAGTATCATTACACCCTTTCTATTTTTATTTTAACTGCCTCTGTGGCCGAATGGTTATCATGCCAGACTGCCACGCAGAGGTCCCAGGTTCGATTCCCGGGCCAGGAGAAGTATTTGTATGGACTATATTTATTTCTCTCGTGAGTTTGGGTGTAATTTGTGGTTGTCTATGTGTGTGTCCATGGCACCCGTGACACAGGGTTTCCCTAGTGCGGGGCTATGTTGAGTGTGTGATGCGTTATTATTATTATTTTTAAATGGAAAATGGTAAAAATGGTAAAAAAGAGATGCGTATATAAAACTCGTGCTAATAGCAAGTCGTCTCATTCGCACCTGTTAAGACTAAATAGAAAAACAATGATTGAAGAATTCTTCATTACATGTTTTTATATTATTTAACCTAGTTTTGGATTTTCTAATGCTCCCTCATCTCGTGCTATCTAGACATACAATCACTGTCAGTTAAATTCCCTATTAAGTATTTACTACATTCGAAAGCACCTGAAGTAGAAATTGAAAGAACATTGTTTCGCAGTTATGCCTGCAGACAACAACAACTACCTTTCTCAATTTTTACGTCAAATATAATGAAATTTTTTATACATGAACAATTTTATAATTTATAAATTATTTATGTAACTTGTGTTTCAATCCTGAATTAAAAAACTATGATAAGTAGTTTGGCTGTTTGAATCAGATGCCAGCGATGCCGGTGTATATCGCAGCTGCGGCTGCGGCGGCCGCGCAGCAGCCCTCGGCGTATTTGCCCCATCCGCACCCCGCCGTGAGTATTTGACACTTAATAATACTTGATAAGGTTCGCTCATTACTTAATTTTAACGAACGAAATTTATTTTCACGAACGAAACTTAAGCGTTCAGTCTATTTAAGATTGTAGAATACCGACTCTTCACTATTCCCTTTAAGAATCTATACAACCTCAAATGGCTTTGGTTGATTCCGCAGTGAGAGTGTTGAATCAATATCTTTGGAAAAAAATATGGCAAAATTAACGATATACACTGATTACTATATGGTGTGAAAATAGGATTCTTAAAAATATTCACGATAGAAAATATACAAACTTACCTTGAAATTTCACGAGAAAACCGCTTTATTCAATAGGTATTTTACATATACTAATGATTTTTTTTTTATATATGAACTGAACTAAATAGTTTAATTTCGTTTGTAAAAAAATAAATTTCGAAATAAAGCCGATATCCCAGCAGCTCGACTCAAGCAAAATGAACCGTATTAATACGGGAAAAATCGGTCTGTGGTTAGTATAGACTCTTAACTCATAGTGAAGGGGTAAACAGGAAGTCAAATCCAATCGGGATTTACTGTATTACATTACTGTATTTAAATTTTGTTCTACTACTATGCTGTTACTATTATTTTTTATATTACTAAGTTTTATTATCTCTCATATTTCGACTGAAGGACTTGAATCCAAAGTCATGAAATTCGGAAGATAATTGATAACGTAATCTTCCTATTCTGTTATTGCTAGTTTAATACACTTATTATTATTCGGCGAGGTACATCCCCAAACGAGTTCAATTACACTAACTATAGTAGTTGATTCAAATAATTGAAGGAGTGAATTTCGAAGGAATTTATTGAAGTAACAATGCTGTGTAAAGGATACCATTCTAATTAAATCGTAGTTTAGTCGAAGTAACTCAGAAGATCTATAGGGTGGTATGACGCAGATGGAGATGGGGTGCGAGTGCCGGCAGTTCGCGCCTCCCATTCTCGTGGTGGAGAAACGCGACCGCCCCGACGCGGTGAGCGTACACCTTAGCTCAGACACGATATTTAAAATCTACAATAATTCCTGGGAATAGAATCTTACTTTCCATGGGGATTCAATCCCATTTCATCTGGTTTACAGAGTTGAACCCCATCCGTCAGATAACTAACAAGTTGAACTTCACTTTTAAATTTATATTGATAGTAAAGTAGATATGCCAACTTCATATAAACGTAACAGCGCGGCTTGTATGTGTATATTCACATAATCTGGCGGTGCACTTGCGTTGCATCACGTTACGGGGCAAGCACGACAGGGCGCGACTGGCGAGGTGTTGCTATTTTCTATGCGAGTACCTATAACAGTATGTCGCGATTTATGTCGGTCTCTCTTAGTGTTAGGTCATGGAATGTCCCATTTGGAAAAAAATCATATTTTTCAGATATTTTTCCAATATTTTTCGTTTAATTTTCCACTTTCGACGTTAACACCAGTCAAAAGTGAATTTTTCGATAATTTTTTAAATTTAATTTTTCTTTATGTGGGTTTTAGCTATACAAGTTTATTTAATAAAACTTCGAAACATATTTCTAAACGTAGAACATAATATGAGCCATCCAAATTATATTTTTCCAATTTTTTGGGATTTTTTTTTTTATTTTTATTACACAACAGTACTCTCACGCAAGTCGCTCTATCGTGCTAACTCTACGATTTATGGCAATGTGTACGTCCGTACAAGATGGGCGGGCACACATACAAGCAGCGCTGCTACATTTTAACGGAGTTACTTGTCTTATACTATGGTTTTACCGTGTCTGAGTTTTAAAAGCGTGCTGTGATTTTAGCGTTTTGGTGCGCTTGCTACCTTAACCACTAGCTCACGAAGGCTTCCGGTTTCCTGTTCTCGTGTATACAATTACAAATTTGAATAATATTTTTAGGACGAATAACAAGTTTTATAAGAACTTAGTAGAAAGTAGAAAACGTATATTTTTGATATTTCAAGGTGTTTGTAAAGCCATTGGTTCAACAGACGGTTTGTTTGTTATTTTTAGTTAGTTGTCTTTTAACTTAGAATGCAGTTAGTTAATGTCAAAACAATCGGTTAAACTAGAAAGTCAACCATTTCATACTTTTGTCAAACCCGTTCTTTGTGTTTTTTTTTTGAAGTTCATGAATGCGTTTCAAAATACATTTCACGCTGAACGCGATGCTGACTTACAAAGAATGAAATTAAATATCCTTTACATTTTGGAAACCCATTATTAGTACAATATTTGAGAACTTACTGTTAAAAGCCATTTTTTATATTAACTAGTTTTATTTTTTTCAACTGGACACTGGCGGCGTTCGCCGTAATTTTTATTTTATTTTTACAAAACTTCCGTACATAAATTCTTAACTCTGACATTTGGCAAAATCATCGTGAAAATCGATGAAGCCATTATAAAGAAATTGGAATCAGTTTTATTTTGTTCATTATTTTTTTACGTCAGTTTCACAAAAATGTTACTTTTCGGGCTGACTTTCAAGTTAGATCTATAGAGAGAATTAGTAAACGACGTCATCATTAACTCCCTAATATGATTGTTGTAGTTGCATCTCTATTTGACTATTGAACCTTTGGCTCTTATACTTGTTACTAATACGAGTGCAATGACTTGAGTTTGCAGTGGTTTGCTAATAACTGTCGTTTGCCATCAAGTTCAAAGGTGATCAGTAACTAACATCTTTGACCTTAAATCTTTACTATAGTGTGACGGTTAATCTTTTTTTACAATTAAAATTCGTCCAGGAATGTACTGTCACATTTGACGACCACGGTGTCCTAGCTGGATTCGAAAATCCCAATTTCGATTTCCGGTAGGACCAATTCAGGAAGTTTTTAAAACCTTTGGTCTGGGTGTTCCAAGAACAGAGAAGTACAAGGAAGGTTGAGACGAGACAACGGGTGTGATTTTTCTGACACATATTATTATTATTATTATTATTATCTATTTCTTCCGCCATGCAATAACATGAGCATCACTGCGTTCCGTTATTGAAGGGTAAAGGGTGCTGGTGAAATTACAGGCGCAAGAAACTTGTCAACTTTAGGGAGACATCAACTTATTAACCCGGAATCGTCTTGTGCGATCGTGTTTGAATGAAAAAAAGTGAATAAAATTTAGAAAAAAAATCTGCTCGTTTCGTACAAATAAACATTCGGTTTGGTGTTATTTTAACTTCAATTTAGTTTAATTAATTATTATACAAAGAGCGAACACTCAGAAAAACATTACTTTTTGGTTTTTCAACGACTTTTTAGCCGTAGCGCCATCTATGAGAAATCTATGAAAATATTTCGTCACCCAGTTAGATACCTTTACTTCGAAGGAATGTTTTTCTGAGTGTTCGATCTTTGCATTAATAATTCTAACAAACTAGTGGAGTAATTTCACATAAAAAATAATTGAATTTCAATTCAATAAATAATTTAGGCATATTATTACCATATCTATTTCTTCCGTCAAGCAGTAACATGTGCATTACTGCGTTCCGTTATTGAAGGGTAAGGGTGCTGGTGAAATTACAGGCGCAAGAGACTTGTCAACTTTAGGGAGACACCAACTTATTAACGCGGAATCGTCTTGATGCGATCTTGTTTGGCCACACTCGACGAATTAAGCACACATTGTCGTAAAAAATGAATGAATTTTAGAGAAAAAAACTGCTCGTTTCGTACAAATGAACATTCGGTTTGATGTTATTTTTATTTCAACTTCGTTTTTCTACTTACACAAAGGCTATTTCATTTATAAGCTAGGCTTTCTTTCTCATTACAAATCTGCGCGTAAAAGCATTAGCTACGCTACCACGCTAGTGTGGCAAAGATTTTTGAAATTCGAAGTTGACGATGGACAGTGGTGCACGTAACTTTTTCTTTCGATGAAAAAAAAAGATAATGACACGTTCAACTACGCGATTTGTCGTACACTATTTAAGTGATATGAATCGGCTGGTATATTATCATTTTCCTCTATAGCGAGATGATACGTTGTGTGTTTCGCTCGGCAGCGAAGGTGTTTTGCGTCTCGTGTCTTGAAACCCTCGCTACGCTCAGGATTCTAGTCTTGGACTCCTTCGCTTGCTTGGGTTTCAATACAAGCACAAACAAATAACTATTTTTTATCGGGAATTTCTTGCGTATAAGTTTTTTTAAACAGATTTGTCAAGAAAGTCGTGACAAATATTCATCTTCATTATTTATTTGAGAAGCTACAGAGCTAGTACAGTTGTTAGTGTGTGTAATAGATAAATTCTATTAACAATAAATATGCACTGGATAGTGGTACTTGAGTAAATAAATAAGTATCTTTTAATTAATATTTTTACACACTTTAATGGAAAATTTTAGTATAGGTTATTTAAAATAATTAAGTACCGAATGTTATAAAGAATTCCTTGGTTTGAAACCCGCTAATTGATGTAGTTCTACGGTATATTATTATTTTAAATTCTCAGCTCTCCCCTAGCTTAAAAGATAAATTTTGAAATTCACGAGATTATGAAGGCAATGAAGCATCGACCCGGATCAGAGACTTAAGTTCAAGAACCAGTAAAATAATAATAATTTATTGGTATTATAAGAAGTTTACAAGTTTTTCCTCAATAAAAATCAGTAAAAACGAACTATATGAAAATGCGTATGGGAGGTTTACACTCTAAGGCGACGATATAAACAGTACTCATGTCCTTTTTACGTAGACATTGCGGTTAGTCGCTATATATTGTATGAAATCGTGATATGATTCATCCCTTAAACAACCTCTTCAGCTTTCAACCCTACTAATTTCTCAGACAAAGACCACAACTCCGATGCCAATACTGGATCTTCAGCCTTCCTAGACATTTTAGCTGCCGCGCAGTCAACAAAGTAACCACCAGTTACACCACTACATTCACCTGACGCTGCCAGATAAATCGCCGTCTGCGCACCTTCCTCTGGAGTTTTAAACAACGTATAAAGTATCAAACATCTTAGCTTCTCATAAATCGTAGATCTGAATAACGTTGTATTGACATGTCCAGGATGCAGACTATTGACACAGACTCCTGTGCCTTCCAATCTCCTTGCTAGCTCATTACTAAATAACACGTTGCATAATTTGCTATTGCAATACGTTTGCAAATAGCCATATTTTCCTTCTTCGTTTATGTTGTCTATTGTACCAAACTTATGTAAAACCGACGATACTATTACCACTCTACTGGGTGCAGATTTCTTAAGCAAAGGCACTAGAAGTAACGTGAGCAGAAACGGCCCAAAGTGATTGACTTGCATATCCCTTATGATGCCATCTTGAGTTTTCTTCAACCCCATTCCACTTGCTCCGGCATTATTAATCAAAACGTCTAATTTTGCTTCAGTTTTCTTGAAATTATCGACGAATTCTCTAATAGAATTCAAAGAGCTGAGATCTAAGAATTCGTACCTTACTTTAGCATGCTTGACTGTTCTGGAAATCCGTTGAGCGGCTGCCCTTCCCTTCTTTTCGTCTCGACAAGCTAAAATAACTCTTGCGCCTCTTCTAGCTAATCTTAAAGCGGTTTCGTAGCCTATGCCACTATTGGCTCCTGTCACAATGACCACGTTCCCCGTCATGTAAGGTAAAACGTAACATCTTCCTGTTGATAACTTATTGAATAGTTTTATTAACAACAAAGTCAGTATTACCCATAAAATCCACATCATTGTTGTTTCTTGACTATTTAATATTGATTCTTTTCTCAGAGAAAAACTCTAACTTTAGTTGAATAAATTTTCGTTCGCTCAGTCGACTTTAATCCATTGAGTTTAGGGTTTTTGACTATTCATCATGTAGGTACGTTATAATTACTAACGCGTAAAGATAGTCCACTTTCGCATAATTTAACTGACTAACAAAAACTATGTCCTTTCAAATCTTTTATCACAATCTTTCACTTAACGAGTTCCGTATAAGTAATTGTTCTGTGCAAATATTGTTTCTCCTAATGGCATCGTAAAACAATATCGTACAATGTAGAGCAGGCCACAACGGTGATAGGTCCAAATTATTTTAACATTATTACGCCACACACGTCCGTGTACCACTTGAACAAAAGGTGACTGAATTTATCTATTATATTGAACTCTATTGATTAAGATACGTGAAGGTTATCACTTTAGGTGGGATTTCGCATGTCAACTTATAAGACTTGGATTATAATTAACACACAATATTACAATTACGATTTAAATTAGACTCTTTTGCCACTTGTGCTAAGAATACTATGCTATTTAGTAGCAGTAGAGCTCCTTGTGAAAGAGTTCGTCCAGGGAAGTACCTTACCTATTTCTGCCGCCAAGCAGTTCCGGTTTTAAGGGATAAGGGTGCTGGTGAAATTACAGGCACATGGAACTTGTTATCTTACGTCTCAGTGTGACGGGCGCAGTGGCAGTCTCCATCAGATCTTTGCGATTTAAAGCTTTGAGTGGCACTGCAACTGTTATGAACAGGCGTGTAGCTTACCATCAGGCTTACTACTTGTTCGTCCCGTCACTTAATATTATAAAAAAAATACAACTATGATTACAACGGTCACAATACAACAACGTCCAATTAGAAATAATAATATTAACGCACACACTCACAGTCCTGCATTAGGAAAACCCTTTATCACAGGTGCCCAACACATAGACAACCACAAATTATACTCAACCTCACGAAAGAAATAAACGTAGGCGATCCAAATATCTCTCCCGGCCTTGAAATCAAACCCAGGACGTCTGCGTGGCAGAGCAGCATAGTAACCGTTCGGCCACGGTAGCAGTAAAAGTAAGCCAAATCGAGTCTTAATTTGTATTATTAATCATTATTAAATTGGAATGTTTCATATACGGTATCACTGACAGTGATAAAGTAACAACATTTTGTCCCATATCTACTTTTTATGTACAATTAAGTTAATGACATTTGAACAGCTGATAACAGGAAGCCAAAACCATCACTCTCTGGACCGTGTTAATAAACAGTTTCTATTGTACGGCTGAGATGTTACTTGGATGCGCTTCAAATACCTGCATTACCAGACTTATATAGATAATATCATCTCAAGTTGGCATTAAGACGTTGAATTTGTGTTGAATGTAGTAAGGTAGTGGTGCCAGTGACCGCGACCTTACCTATTTCGCATTACTGCGTTCCGGTTTGGAAGAGTGAGGGTGCTGGTGAAATTACAGGGGACTTTTCAACTTATGTCTTAGGGCGCGTTCCCATTATGTCGTGACGTTTTATTTATCATCTGTCGTGACTGTCGTGGACAGTTATTTTATCGTTGAACGACTGTTCCCATAAGATTCCATTTTTATTAACATGGACTTTCGCAAAGTAACGCCTGAATCTATTAATTACTTAGAGACGGCATGCTTAGCCTACCAGGCACATTATTACATCAAACTAACAAAACAACATCGCGTAACCGTTCAGAATGTTTGGTTTAATCAACAATGTAAACATTTAAATGTTGTACCTAATTATATACATTTACGTAGTAACAACACTAATAAGGCAGCTAGGATCGCAATCGATAGGGCACAAAAAATATGACTTAACGAGGAATCTCGCCATTGATTTACCATTAGAGATAATTTAAAATTACATCTTAAAATACTTTATTCAGAGCTGTCTTTTAAATTATATAATATTGAATTTGATATTCTAGACCAAAAGGCGAGATTCTTCGCGTCACAGGCGGCTCATAAAATGTTTCTTACCCAGTCTAACAAATTGCGTAGGCTTACGGAATCTAGATCTAATTCTTTCTTCAATAACACTAACTCGCAATCAACAATCTGTCACACCTTCCACCCTCGTGTAAAAAATCTTACAACTGTTGAGTTTTTGGAAGACGAGATCAAATTATTAAACAATGGTTTAAATTTAAATTTACGCCCTAAAATTAATCAAAAATCATTAGAAAATATTGCTGTGGATTCTGAGGTCGCTCGAGTGAGTTGTCCGTAATAGCAACGATGTAGATACTAAGGCATTATTAGTTGCACATACAATTAAAAGATTTCAAACTTAGGAAATGAAACTATACGTTGTTGTTTTGTATCCAAAACAAGACACACGTTTGCGCGGCGCCTTAAGTAATAACAACCTTGATGTGACCCTTTGTTTCAGATGAATGTATTATTATAAATATGGTGTTTTGTTTGTGATGTATCACTTTCTAATGCTCTAATTATTTATTTAACAGTAAATGCACTCAAATTACTCACTTTCTATAAAAAATAATCATTCAAAAAATCAGATATTTAGAATTGTAGATTTACAACCTAAAAATGAGCACTAAGGCTTCGGCAGTAGGTACTAAAATATAAAAATTTAAATTTACAACGTCTTTGCCCTCTCTCCACACCTCTCTATTTTGTGCCACTAAGGTCCAGTCCTCATTCCTGTCTTAGGGGATCCATTTGTCCAGTGGATTTCGACTCCTCTGACATACGACAGACATGAAATTAAAATAATCAAAAAATAATAATAAGTATACATAGTAATAAGAGTGAAAGAACGGAGTGAACTACTTTATCGCTTTGAAAATTGATATAAAGCCGACTCAAGTAGATTCCGGTAATAAGTGTGGTAACTCTCCCTTAAGAAAAATAACTACATCAGTAAATTAACAAAAGCCAATGATCACTATGGGACTGACTTCCTCACAATCACTTTATCACGTGTATACATTATGTTTGACCTTATAATTATATGAATTAAAGATATTGTACATCGCAAACAACTGAGGAAATACCGAGCTATTTAGCATCTTGCACAAACGAACTCTAGGTTCCATATTCGCATCGTGAAATTAGAAAAAAACAATATCTCTCTATCAACGCATATTGACGCACTTTATGCACGTGAAGAGCTCCTTGTGAGAGTTCGTCCAGGGAAGTACTGCCACCTATTTCTGCCGCCAAGCAGTTCCAATTTTGAAGGGTGACGGGCGCGGTGGCAGTGCCATTTGAGCTACACTGCAACTGTTTTGGACAGGCGTGTCGCTTACCATCAGGCCCACGATTTGTTCGTCCCGTGACTTAGTATCATAAAAAAAAATTAAAAAGAATGAAATTATGTATGTTATGTATTATATTATTATATCTACATTTGCTACTGTAAACATTAATTCGTCGTTGGTCGTTTGAGAACAATCACCAGACGTATGGCACTAGCAGAGAACCCGCATATCATCGGATCCACTTACTATGGGCGTCTGCCCGCTACTCTTGATTTGACCATTTGGCGAACCATTCAGACGCCAGCTGAAAAACCTTTACATAAAGAACGCTTTGTTTAACGATCTCAATATACTCGTAATATCTAATACTTTGACATGTAGTGCAACATACACTGTACATTATACTTCAAAAATAAATAATCTAATATAAAACCAAGTCCTTTCATCATCATCGTCTAACTTCATATACTGTACTATACTGGGTATTAGGTCTCCCGGAGTTTGTATACGATCTAGCGTCGCGGCCTCTCTTTTATTGTAGTTTAAAAAGTACGAAAAAATTTAATTCTAGTTCTATTGAGCTGTGAGATTAAGGGTGGTACAGAATTTGACGTATAACAAAATGGTTTCACTGTGGCTGGACAAACATTAGGCATACAAACATACTCGCATGTACTTTGTTGTTTTTTTTTAATAATTTATAAAAATAACTGTCTGAGTTTGACAACCCTGAAGTGAAATAAAACTTTCCTATTCTTATTGATATCGAAAAAGTTGCCCAGGTGGTCATTATTTAGGCCTTCCCAAACATTTGTCAACTATAAGAAAGGAATTTTCTATTGTCTAATGTTCTGGTCGACATATACTGCATGTATATGCAGTTACTTGTATTAATGAGCGTGTTCTAATCGACAGTTGTACGGCGCGGCGCTCGGTGGTGGGCCAGGAGTCGCGGGGGTGCCCGGTGGGGCGGGGCAGCACGCGCAGCTGCAAGCGCAGCCGCCCAGACCCTACCCCGCCAGGAAAAGTAAGACCTTTGTTTATTCTACACACTATACTTGGTGGAATTATGCAAATAAATAAATTTGTTATATTAATATTAAACACCAGATACCTAATTATGTGTGTATACAGGTGTAAGTGTTATCTCTCGTTTAGCTCAGCGGCACGCAAAAATTACTTTTTTCAAATATTTACGATTGCCAACTTACTGGTGAATTTTGGTGCTTATAGCTTTTTTTGTGACGTAATTTTTGGTGATGGCAACATTTAAATGCATTTTTCATTAAGCGGCTGGCCGCGCGCGCCTCTTATTTGTTCAAAAAGTCCCTAATACCACACCCATTGACGCGGCCGCTCTGAAATTCAAGCTAGTCACTAAGTGGAAAATGGCACTTAGCAGTTAACTGTCATAGGTTATTGTAAAGTCTATCTATTGAGTCACGAATGTGAAGTAGCTTATTACATTGTATGCCCTTTGTCCAGTGCCGGGCGTGCAAGTGGCAGCCGCGACGGGGCAGCCACTGCAGTTGGCGCCGGCGCCCATGCAACAGTTCGTGCCCTACCCACACGCCCATCCGCCGCCGCAGCCAGCTATTCAGTACCAACACATGGTGAGTAATAATCCTTATAATAAGTCGTACACGAACGCTTCTTGTGCTGAAAAGACGCCTCAACCACACAAGTTGTGACGTTGCGTATATGGTGGTAATTGATGGCCCGTTCAATTAACGCTTCAACGCGCTGCATGTGGTGCCCTCTAATTGGGCTACCAAATAAATGAATATATAAATAAATAAATATAATATAAAGTAATTAATGTGCTTACTAACGTAGTTCATATGTTTGTTACTATTTATATATGGATTCAGGTCCGAAATAAATGCTTATTATTATTTTAACATACCGGCTACCGGACACCCACGTTGCGTCACACGTCGCAGACAATACCGGTTAATAATGTGTTTGATCATATAGTTATGTATGTTAGTCTGTAAGGTAATGTATTTATGGGTCTTTGTAACCTGAATATATATAAATAAATAAAAATAATATATATATAGTTCAGGAAAATGGACATGCGTGATACACGATCAAAAAGGAGAAGAGAATGAACGTTTGACTACAAAATTTTGTTAAAATGGCAGGTGCGCATGTACCACGGGGGAGGTGTAGGCGGCGTGGGTGGCGTCGGTGGAGTGGGTGGCGCTATGGCAGGCGGGGAGGGCGGCGTGGGCTACGCGCCCCCTCCGGCGCCGTCCCCCGCAGCGGCCTCCCCCGCGCTCTACCCGCCGCCCTCGCCTGCGCACACGCCGCACCCACACCAGCACCCGCACCCACATCCCCACCCGCATCCACACCCACACCCGCATCACCATTACCAACAGCAACCATTCCAGGTAACTCTTCTTTTTCAAATCCTAACAATACCATAACGTTAATAGCAACGTCGACCTTTGCTGAAGGCATAGTAAGAGAAGATAAAAAACGAAACGAAAAAGGTGGAAACCTATCGTACTGCTACACGAAGCGTGGGATGTTATGAAAAGAAACTCTACTGCCGTAGCCAAAAATGTTTGAATATAGCGATAAAAGAATTACTGTTTTTAAAAAATGTTATCATATCAAACTTGGCCTGGTAACGGTATCAAGCATGTGGACGCTGAAGAGTCCTATTGGCGCGGCAAGGGCTTCGGAAACAATTGAGATGCGCTGATGCTCCCCAGCCAGGGAGTGCTACCGCTTTTGAAAAAAAAAACCTGAATTATCTATACATATAAACTGCACTACAAATATATAATTCTGTTTCCTTGAGATTTTTGTGTTAATATAAAAAATACGTGTTTTCATTTGTTTTTACGGGTGGTGGCGTTGAAATTTTTTTATCTTGCCTAAGTGGGCGGTGAGCTGAAAAGTTTGAAAACCTATGGTAATGGTAATTTAAGTATTACAAAACTAGGCCCGTTCATTTTCCACCGCTATATTTTTTCTGTGCGATTCATGATTCATTCAGGCAATTGGTGTACAATATTTTGTTTTATTTGCGGTGTTATTTTCTCAAGTCAACGGCGGTAAACTCTTCAACCACCAACAGTTGACGTCTGATGTAAATTTGATAGTATAACTTGGTATAATTGCAGCTAATATGTTAAATTTAAATATTATAAAGTTAAATATTCTGTCTGCTACTCGGAAAGTGGCAAAGCTATTTATCTACAAAGATACGTCATTTGTACACGAAACACGCCATACTAAACACCTTATCCTCATTTGACATTTGCGCGTGCGGCGACTCGACCCTCGTAATGCACATTTTCTCGCGCGTATGAGTTAATTAACACTATCAAGATAAAAATTTGGCTTTGCACTCGTGTTAACATAACCTAACCGTGTAAACTAGACTGTATATAACTATTAAAAACAAAATTAGAACTCTTATAAAAGTTAATTCGAACTGGCCGTATTCGAACTAGCACCTTCAGGCAATCCGTGCTACATACTCGTCAATTAAGCCACGGAACGAATTTGTCTATGTGCTTCTTGCAGACCTTTGTTTTTGCGGTATATAACAAGGAATACTTTTATGATGAACTGATAGTGACGTTGGTAATAACGACCTACAAATATAAGATCGATTGTGGAGTTTTGAATCGCTGTTTTCGCAGGTGCTGTATCCGCTAATGGGCGGCGGCGGCGGCGGGCACCACCACCACCATCACCATGTGACGTACCTCAACCACGCGCCGCCCACCAATTCACCCCCCACCACACACCCACCGCTGCAGGTAACCGCATTGGCGACAGATATGCCGCTGTACTAACACTATGACTCCATAGAACCGTAAACGAAACTGTTAAAACCAGTTGCTTCTAAAATTTAAAGAATTAAGTCCTAGAACTGATGTTATTATTATAAAAAATGAATGAGATGCTCTTAAAACTGAAGCGATTTGAACCTTATATCTTCAACCTTATGCTACAATAACTGGGAAACGTTAAAACTGGAATATTTATGTCCGAAACCAAGTTTAGTCCTGAAACTGAAGCAATTGTGTCCTAAAATTAATTTTTGCATTTACCGTTATCTTATTGGATCAGTAATTCATATTTATTGCTTAATTAATACCGCTTCCTTAACTCATAACGATGTCATTCAATCAATTGTAGGTTGATAAGTTGAATATAGACCCTGCAATAATTGTTTTTACTATAAAAAAATCCTACGTTCCTGCCTTATATTGTGTTGTATATAATTAACAGTGATTGGAATTGGGGGAGTTAATTTACCTAAAGTATGAACATTTTCTTAGTATGGACATGCCCATTGCGTCATCAATGCGTATAAAATTTCTTTTTTTACTGTTTATTTTCTAAACATTCCAAGATATGGGTAGTGTCATATTTATTATTTAAATGGCAAAAGTAATTACGTAAGTACCTATAAAAACACAAATTATTTTTTCAGACAACAATTTTTAGTAAATTTCATTTAATAATAAACATATTCAAATGTAATCAGTTTTGTAGAAGGGAATGTCCACGTTATTCTTTAGTCTACCTAAGTGGAGGCCATCAAGTTCGATCACTGATAAGTAAGAATATTTGTATTACATAACATGAGTGCATAACTTCATTTATTATCCAATTTTCTACTACTCGAGGGTCCATAGCTAACTTGCCAGCTATTAAAAAACTTGTATATTCAAAAGTATGTTTTTATGGTGTGTTTTTCTGCCCAGCAGTATGACACAGACATGCGAAGGTACGGGAACGGCACAAGGTACTACATTCCTCGCACCTTCGCATAGCTCCTAGCAGTGGAACGTGTTTAGAATATTTGACTCTTGCGAATATCACACACCGAATGTGCCGCGGCGCTATGTCCTTGTAAATAATGACAGCTATAACAACCGTGCATTGTGTGTGGTACACGCAAGGGTCAAAACAAGATATAAATCGAAATTCTTTTCTGTGACCGAATATGTAAATGTCACGTATTTTTTAATAACAAGGAACTACTGTAAATGAAAACAACGCTCCCTCTGTGTTCCTGAGTAAGAACTAAATTTTTTAATGTGAAACATGTTTCGTCTTTTGACTGTAGATTAAAAAAATCTATGGGAGTTGTCCGTTTAGTTGTTTCAAGTTATTTCTTGATGATATTTTAAAATAAATATTATAACTTATGTATGTGAACGAATATCGATTTACAAAGAAGAACCTCTAAAGTTTCTTACTTATTCTTCTCGATGAAATCTGCCTAACGAAGTAACTTTTATTTAATATTAAAAAAAATCATATGTACAATAATAGTAACAAAATGGAATACAAAAAATATATATTATGCAAGAGTTAAGTTCAGGTTTTGAACATTCGGTCCACAGGAAAGACTTCATTTTACTTTTTTTTTAAATGAAAAACTTTGAAATTTTTTATTTCATCAGATGGCCTGGCTTTTAATTGCGTTACCACTGAAACTATAGAGAATACTATCAAAGGTTTATTTTAGTAACTTACCGAAACTTGCTAAAAAAACACCTTTCTTATAAAACTGCATGCATAGTAAATAACGACAGACAAACTGTATTGTTCCATAGCGTTTTTTTTTACTTTTTCAAATAATACTCCGCACTAAAGTTAAATATAGACTAGGGCTTTCATCCCGGAACTATCAGTCACAAAAATTTCGATTACTGCCGTCCACTAACTAAAAAGAAACAAATGGTATGATATCCGCTTTAAATAGCAAAAGATAGAGCACAAAATTATCTTTTAAAACAGTTAAAATTAGTTACATGTTGGTCTTATTGGAACTTACCCTTTTTTTTGACAGGGGTAAATCTTTATAGATACCCCTGAGCACAGGGAGACGGGAGTCACGTTTACCTCTCGCCGGGTGAGTCGGCGCCGTGGGATCGGTGAACAATCACCACGACTATTGGAACTTACCCTAACAATGCATAGCTGAAATATCATTTAAAAAATTCAATATTCTAAGTCTGGGTTGTGGTTTTTTATATCCCAAAAAATTATTTAGTCACTTGCCCGCGTTTTACTTAGCGGGCGGCAGATTATTTTTTGGTATTTTCAAGACTAGAGGCTGATGTTATTAAATATCGATACTTTTGAGACTTAAATTACTTAATTAGTCAGCATTAAAAAAACTAACTAAACCTACAGTCTGCAAAAAAAGGGCCAGGTTCTCGATTCAACTGCGTTTTTTGTATGTTATCCGATTACTCCGAAATTCGTGAATCAATTTCGATTATTCTTTTTTTTTTGTTGGAAAGTGGGTCCTCAGTGGTCCCATTCAAATTTGTAGAAAATATTTAACCCTTAAGAGTGGTTTTTTTTTATTATTATTACACTTTTCAATTTACAATTAACAAAACAAAAACTGTGCATATTTTTCCTGTTTACCTATACAGATTTTTCGCACATTGTGCAGTCGTCATCTACACAATTTAAAAAATTGAAAACATTGAATATTATAGTAGGTAGCATAATTATATCTCCGTGACAAATATCACAGACAACACCATTTTAGAAAAAAGCAGACACATACACATACACTACGTATTATTGCTTTTTTATTTACGTATTTTGCTACGCATTGACAGCTGACGAACGCTGTGATGTCACTGCGCATTGGCCCCTTTAACCGATTACAATAATTTATTCCACTTACATGAAGATGGCAATGCTGTAGAGTTTAGTATAACAGATTGAAGGACGATAGGAGTGAAATCTGCAGGCCTAAACAGGCCGTAATGGCAGAATCATAATATGTTTAATTGACAATTCATATTATGAATTTCTTACAATTCATATAACGCAATTCCTCTGGCAGTGTTCTTTGGAGACCTCCATAGAACAGTGTCAAATAGATGAATTACGTTTTTTGTTGTGTTTGAAAATTCATAATATGAATTGGCAGTTAATAATATTATGATTCTGCCAATGCGGCCTTTTTATCGTCGTCGTCTCTATCTGAAACTTCACTAAAAGCCCATAAAGTCGTAAATTTTGACTGCCTAAACAATTAGCCTATAAAAACTTAAAAACGTATTTTTTAAATAGTCTCGAAAGTCTCGATCTTTTCCCGGGACACGGAAATGCAGCGAGATTGAAATGAAAGCCCTAACTATTGCATATTACACCTTCAATAATAAAGTGATAAAAACTATTTAAGATTCGTGACAATCTATATACGCCATTTGGTATATTCAGCTTTATTTCGTAGGTTTTAAACGTTATTTACTCTGGTTTTCAAAACTTACTTTTTTAATTTCGTAATGTTATTATTGAGAGTGTGATATAAAACATTATGAATCTAACATTCAGTTATAATTGCACACAACGTTCTATTGTAGCCTTTTTTAATATTCTCTATAGAAGAGCTAAAAAAGTCCCTACGGGTCTCCTCTAGTTGACGCGAGTGGGTGTGGTGTGATAGCTTTGCGTACACTTATTAGTTTCATAAATACATATTTACATGTCGGTTGAATCATTTATTTGCATTAACGTGAAAACAATGATAATTGCATTAATTTCTTTTTTTTTTGGCCTATTAATCTATCCTCGATATTGAGTAGAAACTTTGAATATTGTTTTTGTTTGAAATGCCTGTTTTCTTTTTTAATTTTTTCGTACTTAATAATTTACTTGCTGAATTTATATGAATATAAAAAAGACAGATTTGAATTCTTTCGGTATTTTTTTTATTTTATTTTACGTTTTGCAATTTTCTACACGCGGGCTTGAATTTGTGTTATTTTTGTACCGTCGATTTGCTTCAGAAAGTAGTTACGATGATTGCAAGCTACGCGCGCCCGCACCAACCAGGGGAAGCCCTTGGATGTGGCCCTCTCCCTTGACCGTGTATAATACTCTGCCCCCCACAGCAGGCGGTAGTGGTTCCGCCGCAGCACCAGTCGTCCGGCGGGTCGACGACCCCCGGCGTGCACTCGTCCGCGCACCCGTAAGGCGCCACGCCCGCCCGCGCCACACAGCGTCGCTGCCTCTACACGCGCCCGCCGTGCTAGGCTAGCAGTAGTACGTACTCCGTTCCCCTAGCCGTCTTTCGTTCAAACGCTATAGTAGGTTTCTTGTGAATATGGTCTGAATCTTAGTCTAAGCGGAGTGTCGGTTCAATACAGATATATACTCTAAACGAAACTCAAAGGAGGGTGAATAAAGAACAATATGCGGTGCAACGTGCGGCCTTTCTAACTAGCGGTCTCTTTTTTGGCAAGCTTAAAAAGAATTGCTTCGAGAGTATTGTAAGTAATGGTGTATTGAAACTGTAGGATATTCTATTTATTGGAAAGTTCCTAAAGTCTTAGGTTATGTATGGATTGAATGGACATGAGATTCCATTGAAAATTCGTACATACATACGTCACATCACACTGAAAATTCATCATTGATCAAGTGATGTTTATACTTCACCTAGTATAAGTATTTGAATAAAATTTATCTATCAATATAGATAAAATTCTTTTGCGTCAAATTTGTCGTAACAAAAACGAGAACAAAATGTATCTGGTACACTAGTCTACAGTAAACAATAAGGTAGGCTATGATATTAGAACCTCAAATGTGTGCCTAGATTTAAAACTAGTAATAACTAGACCCCGTTTATCGATTTGGCGTTTTACGGGCATCCACGAACGGGTCTTGTTATATTAGGCCACATGCAACGGTCCCAGGCCGGGTCCACGTTTTGTGTCATTTTGTCGTATAGTGATATATACCCGCTGATATAGCGACATACAGCTGTCAAATTTGAAACTAATTTGACAGATGTATGTCGTTATTCATTATCATATAACACGGAGGTAATATACGCTAAAATGATGAAAGCGTGGAACCGGCAAGTGCTAGACTGTTGAAACAAAGATGGACGCAGCATGCGCCCTGTTCAACACAATTCGTCCCCTGTATAACGAACGTGAGTAACAATTTTGACTGTTAAAAGTTGTTTATATACAGTCGATTCAGAATTTCATTCTCAAATTCTGTATGATTTTTCGTCAAAATTATCGGGAATATCCATTAGTGTTGTAAGGGACGAATTATAAGAAATATATAAATATAATTCAGACCATATATCACTCTGTTTAATTGTTGTTTATTTCCAAATGAGAGAGTCAAAAAGCTACCAGATATGCCAATAAAATTAGCACTGCCGTACCGAATGCTCAAATCGCCGTGTTTACTTTTAAAAATAATTGTATGTTTGTTACTAACATTGAGTGTGCTCAGTAAAATTATTTTTACTTAATATCGAACGCCTCGTTTCTTTATATTTCTTTGGCATATCTATGTAGTTTTTATGTCTATAATGGCGTTGATCGTCATTTTTAGTTGAAATATTATTTTAAATTGTATTGTTAATTTTAACAGTGAGAACTAGCTCTTTCATTTGTTTATTACGATTTTGTTTTGTCAAAAATTGCACTCTGGCAACTTTTGTAATCGTCTGAAAAGTTGCAACAAGGCAACACTAATTTGTAATTAAAAATTTAGGAGTTGTAAATTTGTTTAGGCACGTTACTGGATTGACAACACTGTATTTTGTATAATTTGGTCTTGTAGCTTTGGTAACTTTTGAGATAGCATTGAGCAAAAGCAAGTGTTTCCTTATTAAAAAATAAAATTAACATCTATATTCGTCAATATAACATCCATCACATTACCAGGACTTCAATTCAACCTTACGTAGCTATATCAAAGTTAATGGACATAAAACAATGGAACTTTAGAATTACTTTAACATAGTATGGTCTGGTGAATTGTCCAACCGATGAAAGTAATGAGCTGCTTCGTGAGGTTTTCAATAAACACTGTAATATGAGATCCTTAACAAGACGTGAAGAATGGCCGGTATGGTGACTGTTTATTAACGAATTTTAATATTATACAGTGTTGCCAATTTCCAGTGATACTTATTACACAGTATATTAAAATTAGTTTAAGTACAGTGTTGGCTTAGCACGGCGGGGCACACTAACGAGATATAACTTCGTATGTAAGAGTAGTGACGCCCTGCGCCCGACGACGTGGATTGTCGGCCGCAGATTTTCATATAATATAGGTAGATAATTACTATTTCAATTTATTAGTTTCCTTTTGTATGTGGGGAAGTGGGAATTTCGATTGGTTTTCATTGTCAAAGATAGATAAAATCAATCATTTTGTTGAGTAAACAAAAATGAGATTATTTGTGTCGTAATCAGTTGATCCTATTTATTGGGATGTTTTGGAAAATAACTCCACCAGTTTTGTTATGATTATGAATATATGTAATATGAATATAGAAATCGAACACGTGTAAAAAATTTTGTTTTCGTCGAAAAAAAAACATTTTGCGTCGAGCCGGTGAAAAGCTATTCCAAAAAAAATCTCTTACTAAATGTTACTAGCGGCGACAAATGCCGAAAGTCAGTACATAGATCTATAACAAAAACACATAGGAGAATTTCGATGATTCGGTAACTGGACCCATGGCTCATATGGTCAGAGCAATGCTACGGTGCAGCATGGACGTAGGTTCAAATCCCACCGGGTCATCAAAAACTTTTTTCTGTTTATTCGATCTTTGTATTCACAATCATAAATGTTATAATCCTTTTAAGCTATCGACAAAAACCCATTTTGGAAAAACATTATTCAAATTCGGAAAAGAGGACTTTTTGTTTATCTGCTCTAATTTTATCTTACTTGAATAATAGATAAAACAAAATTTTATATAATACATTATTTTAATTATCACTTTGTTGTCTTATCTTGAGCATACATTCAAAGAAAGGCTGCTGGCGGCCTTATTGAATATGAGCGTATTATCACTTGAAATCAAAATTATGCAATGGCAACTCAGACGGGCAAAGTGACCAATGTGTTGCGTCTTTTACAAATATCACTACTAAGACCACTAAATAGCAATTCAAACGCCATCTACTTTTTTAAAACAACTCTAGAAAATATCGATAATTTCAGTGTTACAAATGAACTTGGACACAATTACAGGTCTCAAGTCACCCGTGGCCATGATTGAAAGAAACAAATATACACGATTAAGATGAAGAAATAGTTACATTTGCAATGTGTAACAATCGCGTTAAACCTAAGCACTCGGCACTTTAGCATTTGCTAAATAAGACTTTGTTATTTATAATTCAAACAATATCTAATACCGTTAAAACGTTGGTAGTATTAAAAAGGCGCAATTTCGCTTGAAAATTACAAGTAAACAAAAATTTTAACATAAAAAATCACTAAAAACACGGCCCTGACTAGTTGTTAGCATCTTATTATTATATGAAATCGTATTTAAATTCTTTATTGCATTTACCAGAATCTAACGTCGGATGGAAAAGGCTTAATGCGAATTATATTTAGAGAGAGAGAGAAGGGTTTACTCTTTACAATATTTAGAAATTTAGAAATCTTGCTTTGTTTCATTTTACATACGTTCAACTAGAAATTAAAGAAAGCATATTCTTTTGATTAGGCTTTTACTCATCTCATAAATTATCTTATTATTTTCACCTAAAGAAAACAAAAAAATCGAAATTCTCACGTTTTCCAAAAACTCATTTTGAATAAACGCGAGCCATCGATGGCCGAATCTTTGGCTTGGCGTTTACGATATTTATTTAATGCTACGATAGTGTTACAAATACCCTCCGTGATTTTCTTTTTTATTATGTAATTATTCGCGAAATTTCTGTGTCCGATTTACACATGAAATCTGTTCGCGAATGTCTATGGGCTTGTTTATGGTTTTTAGGGCTTTTTTTTGTACGGATTTGTTCGTCGAAAGAAACGATTGCTCCACGAATAATTTTCCACTGACAAAAATGAACATTTTTCGTGTATTTCGTCGTTATTGGTTATATCGAATTTAAAAGTGTCTTCCTGGGCCATGGATCTGTCAATCAACTTTGTGAATACAGTTTAGATAACAATTTCAAATCAAATGACATAATCTTCCATAATTATCACGCTTTGCCAACCAGTTGTTGATCAAGTTGCAGAAAGACGCTTTATAGCGGGAGATATTATTATAGTGGAGGGGGATAGAGCAAACTAGAAAATATTTCATTAACAACGTTTTATTTATTTATATTTACACGACGGTATGATATCTACTTGGCACGATATAATTCATCAAAGAATTATCTCTGATAATTCTGACACTATCACGGTAAACCGTATCTAAATGTGCACAAACAAACACGCTGCCTCTCTTCCATCGTGGATAAAAAAGTTCCTTACGACGAACGAACTGAAATCCTTGCAAAGTTCTTTATCGTCGTAATTGTAAACTTGTAAAACAAATCGGTAATTGTAAAGTATGACAATTTATTTATTTCTGCCTGAAACTGTTTAAAGTTGTGCTAATGCGCGAGTTTTGAGTCGGTAGTAAAGTTGACAATAAAACAAATTGTTAGGTTAGATTAGGGACGGGCTTGTGTGGGATAACTTATGGGCTTTATTTGTTACAATTACGTGCTAAATTCCAAATACATTTTTATAAATTGACTGAAATTATAATCGCTTTATAGACATTACGCAATTACGTATACGTATTTTAAAGATAGAGCCTATTTACACGCACGTCCAAAAAAATTAGGCACGACGAATGATTTCGACACCCATACCCGACTGTGGACAATTCTGTCTTGTGAAGAAAACGATAAATATCACCGTTTTAATTTTATTCTTGATAATTTTAATTACAATACCTACTACAACAAATCTCCAACACCAGAAGTTATCCCATAACGAGCAGTATAGCGTATATAAAAGCTCAATAACGTAAAGAGGTGTTAGTAAATCTACAAATAGCCACTTAAATGTCTGCCACGGTTGATGGACTTAGCGAATGCTGTTGTTAAAGAGGCTAGTCTTACCTTACTTGTCTAAAGCGTTTTTGAAAATGTTTATATTTCGACAAACTGTATCATTTCCTTACTCTTGGCATACATGGTACAAGCGTTCCTTGCATAGCTGAAGACTGATGTGGGAAGTCCAAACTTCTAGACGAGCAGCTACTAACCAAAAAGTAATATCCTTCCTATAAAAAGGAAATTTCTGTATCCGATTTACACTTGAAATATGTTCGCGAATGTCTATGGGCTTGTTTATGGTTTTAGGGCTTTTTTATACGGATTTGTGCGTCGAAAGAAACGATAGCTCCACTAATTATTTTCCACTGACAAAAATGAAAATTTTTCGTATATTTCGTCGTTATTGGTTATATCAAATTTAAAAGTATCTTCCAGGGCCATGGATCTGTCAATCAACTTTGTGAATACAGTTTAGATAGCAATTTCAAATCAAATGACAAAATCTTCCGTAATTATTACTTGCTTGACCAGTTGTTGATTCACTATGTAACAAATTTTCAAGAAGATTCTGTTTCTGGTTTGACAGTATTAATTGAGCAGCAAATATGGAAAGGGTAGCTGTACACCAGGAACTTTGCTTTTGTGGCTACCACATTGGTATTTACACGGTCTCGCAAATCTACACATTTCTAGATTCTTGGTCATCAAAATTTAAAGAATTTTATTGGAAATATACTATTGATTTTGGTGGTACCATCGTCGTTTCCGATTTCCATAACACAAATGTTTTATTACTTAATTACTTCAAAACTTAATACTTATAATTATACTTATAATTATAATATAGTAAATTATTTGGTCAAGTGTGAGTTGTCCATAAAAATGACAAAAAATTTTTCAACATTTCGCTGTCCTGACCATAAAAGCAAAATTTTTGCACGAAAAGCTTTTTCATAATTTTATGTGAAGTTAAATTCGTGTTACATGGTGTTATTAAGGTAACGGTAATGGTCAAAGCAGAAAATAAAACCTTTGTTATTTAGTACAATTAAAAGATATTTTTTAATTATTCATATGGCAACCCTGGAATGTGAATTTTTTTGTCTATGGCAAATGCGTGTGGGCATTGTTTTTGCCCCATTTTATTTTACTGTATAGTGGACAGAATCACAATGATCCAAAATATATAGCATCACGCTTGCCGACTTTTATATGTTTTTATATACATAAAATGCATCTTTTTCGCTCTTATGCTCAGCCCACACAGAGGCGGCCGCGGCAGCGTTTCGGGCGCGGGAATTTTTGTAATGTACGAGTTTATATGGACCCTGACACACCGAAACGTTTCAGTGTGGCAGGATTCATGAGTATTGGTATATTACAAAAAAAATGCTTCCGCGGCTCGCCTCTGTGGGCCAGAGCATTATTGTAAGTACGTACAGTTTTTTCAGACCGACTGCAGCCGATTACCCGGTCATTTGTATAGTGACTTATTAAACCTTTTTAACTGATCGCTGTTTCAAACTGACACAAAATACCAAAAAAAAAAGGTTTATTGAATCACAGTTCATTGCACAATAAAATAAAATGGGAATGAAAAATGGCCACTGGTATTCGTCAAAGAGAAAATTAATATTTCAGTTGAAAAAAACAAAAAAGAAACAAGTATCTGATCATCTTTTCCCTATTTAACCT